GACGCAGAGTCTCTGATTTGATATCAAGCTCCTTGATCCATTTTGAGTTAACTTTTGTGCATGGCGAGAGAAAGGGATTCAGTTTCATTTTGTTGCAAATGGATTTCCAGTTTTCCCAACACCATTTGTTGAAGACCTCCAAAAACTGCTAGGGCATCTGAGTTTCACATAAGAGAATTTTTTTTTTATTTAAAAAAAATATCTATTTTTTAATTGTAGTGTTGGACACAATACCTTTATTTATTTATTTTTATGTGGTGCTTAAGATCAAACCCAGGGCCTTGCATGTGCTAGATGAGCGCTCTACCACTGAGCTACAATCCCAGCCCGAGAGAAGTTTTTTTTTAATTCTGTTGTGCTGTCCAGCTTTGCTGTATCTGAATAAGAAAAAACTGGAAGGGAGTAGGATGAATAGAAGGGCAGGGAAGGAAAGACCAAAATTGCTCAACACGGGAGAAAACCACACAGTAAAGAGATGGAAGAAGGGCAAAAGGAGCCCAAAGGCTCCTAGTCCTCAGATTTGAAGACAGGCACATGTATGGTCATGTTTCAGATGGGGTTCTTCTGAAAAAAGAACTGTCATTCAGAGAGGCACACTCCAGTCTTGAAGTATACTTCAGTGAGTACTGATCACAGTCCAGGATATGAGACAGTCCTGGGGATGGGATGTGCCCTTGAGGCTCTTACTGTCTAGTGGAGACACTAAACCAGGCACAATGATGAGAGCACAGGGGATGACAGACATACAGACTGAGGAAGGCTGATCTTATCCTGGGCTGCAGGAAGATCTCCAAGCAGTCAGATTTCATCTGTAACCCAAAGAAGAAGCAGGAGTTACCAAAGCTCATTGACTGATTTGTTTGGGGAGGACGTGGGTGGAAACAGTTTCCAAAAATTGAAATAACTTGCATGAAGGTGCAGACCTTCAGGATAGCACAGAGGTTTGGAGAACTAAAAAGATGATCAGAAGAAGACTGGAGCTGTCCAGCAGAGAATGGTTAGAAATGTCCAGAGAGGGTGGTAGAGGCCAGACTTGCAGAGACAGGGGGACTTGTAAGTCACAGTAAGGAGAACAAAGACAGCCAAGTAAGGAGTTCATACAGGCAAAGATGAATGGAATCTGGACAATTCATCTGGTGGGATTCATGAGACCCAACAACGTCAAAAAGATGGAGACTCTTCACCTAGGCTCTCAAAGGCCATGGGTCACATAAGACAAGCTGGGAGCCTAGGAAGCTTCCAAATGCCATTGAATACATGATTAGCCGCCATCAACAGGAATGCTACCTTTAAAGACAAAAGAAACAGCAAAGCTTTGTAGGATCCTACAGAATCAGGATATACATTGAGTATGAAAGGTCCCTTTACAGACATCTGTGGCAAAAACAGACACAGTGCTTTTTCAGAGACAGTTTTGTGCACTGTGTAGATGCAAAGAAATTGGTATGTGAAACAATGCTAAATTTAAAAAGATGGCCACAAGAAAATAGGTTAGTTAAGCAGAGAATAACTGTTAAAACTGCCCCTATGAAGAGGGATGAATGGGAGATTAATGTTCTTTTGGGTTCCTCTTTCCTGTGAAGTTGCTGCAATCCATAGAGAGACAAGCAGTCTTCTGTGTCACTTCCCCATACAATCCTCTTATCTTAGTCTTTATGGACCAGTGAGTGATCTTTCTGTGAGTCACAATTTCCAGGATGGCCTTTTCTTCAGAAATATTCAAAGCCTCAGGAACTACAATTCCCACAATGCCCCAAGAAGAGGAAGTGCTGGTCTCAGAACTGTGGCAACATCTTTTATCTTTTAAAACAGTGCCATCTGGTGGGCCTTAAGCCTCAAAGCTGAAATTTTAAATCTAGACATCCCTCCATCTGTAACCCTGGGACAGTTCCAACCAGCTGTTTTCAGGTATCAAAATTCTTCTGTTAAAATATATAAAGAAATCCTTCAACACAATAACAAAAATGTAAAAAAAAAAAACAATTAAAAATGGCCAAAGGATTTGAATGGATATTTCTTCAAAGAAAATACACAAATGGACAAGTACATGAAAAAATGCTTGATCTCATTAGTCATCAGGGAAATACATATCACAACCACTTCACACTTTTAAGATGGCTATAATCAAAAAGATATGAATAACAAGCATTGTCAAGGATGTAGAGAAGTTGGAACCCTACTATTGGAGATGTAAAATGGTACAGCCACTTTAGAAAACAGTCTAGCAGGTCCTTAAAAAGTTAAAGGGTTACCATTTTTACCTCGTAATATATTTTAGGTATATACCTATGAGAAATAAAAACTCACACAAAATATTTACACAAATGTTTACAGCAGCATTATCCATAACAAATAAAGGACAGAAATAACCTATATGTCAATAAATGGATGAAAAAAAGTGTTATACCTGTACAACAGAATGTTATTTGTCAATAAAAAAGAATGGAATACTAATACATGATATGACACAGATAAGCCTTTTTTAAAAACATGCTAAGTGAAAAAAAGCCAGTTAAAAAAGACTACATTTTATTTTTATGAAATGTCCAAAACAGGGAGATCTATAAAGGAGGGAATTAAAATAATGGTTGCCCAGGACCAGGGGAATGAAAGGGGTAAAGGCAGATTTCTTTTGGATGTGATAAAAATGTTCTAAAATTGTGGTAATGGTCGGGCTGGGGATGTGGCTCAAGCGGTAGCGCGCTCGCCTGGCATGCGTGCGACCCGGGTTCGATCCTCAGCACCACATACCAACAGAGATGTTGTGTCCGCCGAGAACTAAAAAATAAATATTAAAAATTCTCTCTCTCTCTCTCCTCTCTCACTCTCTCTTTAAAAAAAAAAAAAATTGTGGTAATGGTTGACGCTCCATGAATACACTAAAAACCACTGAATTTATACTAAATGATTGTACTATATGGTGAATGAATTATCTCCATATAGCTGTTAAAATATTCTTCTGACCAAATGTATAAAAGTACCATTTTCCAAATTGCTCTCAATATAGTAGAGGTTGTCAAACTTTTTCTGCAAAGAGCCAGACAATATTCTAGGCTGTGCAGACCATACAAACTCTATTGCAACTTAGCTCTGCCACAATAATGAAAGCTGTCATAAACAAGATGTGAAGGAAACAATGTGGCTGTATTCCAGTAAAACTTTATTGACAAAAAAGGTGGCAGCCTGGACCTTTGACCTAGACTACAAATCTCCCTTAATCCACATCATAACCCTATGCAAAAGATAGGGCAGGAATGCCTAAGAAGTGGTAGAGACTCAGAGGCTGTCTTGCCCAATGATAAATAACTTATAAATGGTAGAGGCAAGACTTCCAGCCTTGCCATCACTGGGTGTTTGCATGAGCTAGATATGCTGGTTCTCCAGAATATCTCTCCCTCCAGATAGTCACCAGACCTCTGCAAATTGGTACAGATCTGATGAGCCACAAGAGCCTCACAGAGGTCTCCTCCTCCAAGGCCTCAGTGACCCTTGTCTAAACCATCCCTCTTTTTTTCAATTTTTATTTTTTAATTTTTATTGTTAGTTGTAGATGGACACAATATCTTTATTTATTTTTATGTGGTGCTAAGGATCGAACCCAGTGCCCCACACATGCGAGGCAGGCACTTTACCACTGACCTACAGCGCCATTCCTAAACCCTTTCTCTCTTTTTGATGACTTTCAATGGTACAAACATTTCTAAGGTGCCACATTCAAACACTGTGCAAACTTCAGTTTTCATCAGAAAGGACCCACTTGGGTTTAACCTTCCACCAATCCAAAGACACGCAAAAATCTCACAACTGGTAAAGCCTTTGCAGAGCATGAGGCCTGGTTTATGTAACCCTCCCCCTGGGCCTCATGCATATCTTCCTATTTTCTTTCACATTGACAACCTACCATGTATCACCTTCCAAGATCCTAAACTATAAACTAGGAAGCTTCCAGTACAAAAGAAAAGAAGATGGTAGATCAAGTGCTATCATACTAGAAAATAAGCATCCACTCACCTAAATTAACTCTTTGCTTTTGCCAACTTGGTTTACATCTGACTATATTCTTTGTAGCTGTGTTGTGCCTCCCTGGGATGCCCTTCCTTTTTCCTTTCCTTTTGTTTTTTGTTTGTTTGTTTGTTTTGACATTCACTAAGTTGGTTGTGTAGGCTGGCCTTGAACTCCTGGACTCAAGTGATCTTCCTACCTCAGCCTTTGAAGTAGTTGGGACTAAAGATGCATGCCACCACACCCTTCTTCCTCTTTACTAGCTGTGCTTTGCCCACTTCCAGGTCCTTCACTTGAGGATAGATGAAACCTCAGTTTCCTGCTACATCCAAACTCCTTCCCCATTTGTATGAAGTTATGGAACTAACAGACAGAAGGATCCTCACAGGCCACTACAGCTTCAACTCACTGAAAAAAAAGGAGGAAGTAGTTACATGCCCAAGATCACAGTACTTCATAAGTTAAACCAGCACCAGACCCCCAATTTGTATTCCTGTCACAATGCCAAACTGCCTGTGAAGTTCTGAATTTCCTGAAGCAGGTAATGTTAGGGCAAGGTCTCATAACAACCTGCTGTCACTCTGGATATGCTATAGACACCCAACACTCTTCCTCCTTCTCATCACTGAACTGTTACTCATAGAGCAATGCCCAGCTTAAATGCCCTTTCACCCCAGGCCCTTTCTAGACTCTGAACATCCCCAAAACAGGAAGAGGTTCTTCTTTGTGTTCTCACAGCTTCTTTGTACTTCCCTTATCAAGTATATTACAAGTCATTGGGTAGTCAGGATAATGTAGCCTTCTGCATTTGCCAGTGAACATCATTCAGGTAGATATCACATCTGTCTTGAAGATCATTGTGTCTCCTGCCCCCAACACAGAAAAACTAATCAAATGGAAGGAGAGTATTACTATTTTTCATTCACTAAAATCAGTCACTCCCTTTCTTACCCTCAAGTCTCTCTCCAGCGGCAATGAAAGAGCCACTACTTTCTTCTAGGCCTTATCACAGTCACAGGTGGACAAAGGAGGCATGGTGTCAACTCCCACTTAAGAGGCTCCAAAGAAAGCAGGGGTTATGGCAGGGCACTAGTATAGAGGACCTGGAAACTGCAGAGAAAAGTGCACTGGATGGGGTTCATCTGCGCTAGGGACACAAAGTACAGGCCAGCCTTTGCCCTACACAAAATTCAGAGTCTGCTCCGTGTCCTTGGGAGTTCTGACCCAGAGACCAAATTTCCCGAGGGAAAACAAGAAAGACACTTACTTCCCTCATTAAAGAGAGGAAAGCCATAAGCTCCCAGAAAAGCCGCACAGGCCAAATGTCAATCGCTACCTCTGCCCCGACTGCGCTGCAAATCTTCGGGCCGTCTCCTTTCCCATCTACAACAGGATTAGATTAGCCTGAATGACCTCGTGGGCCTAAGCCCTGCCTCAGTCACCCCACACTGCCCGGCCGAAGACCTCAGCCCAGTGTAGCCCGTCTGGGCCACTGGCCAAAAGGTAACGTCCTGGCCTCACCTGTCGGGGGAGCGTAGGTCCGGACCGGGGGCTGGGGACTTGGCCCCGGACTCGCTGAGATGATAGGGTCACTCGGGGGCCGGTTCAGGAGGTAGTGCCCACGGCCTCGCAGCCGAAGGCAACTCCTCCACATCGCGCCGCAGGACCTGGGAGGACACGTGCAGCGAAACCAGAAAACAGGAAACAGCGAAAGAATCCCTAAGCCGCAAGCCGCTGGGGCTGTAAGGAAACCTTTCACCACGTTCCCAGAGCCCTCAGCCTCCCCTGGACGCCGCCATCTTCCACATGACACCTACGGCGCGCCGTCGCGGCGGCGCGCCGTCGCGGCCGCGCGCCTCCGGCGCACACCCCCAGTCAATCAGCATCACAAACGCACCTCGCCCCGCCCCCTTCGCGCGCGCCTCGGGAAGAAGACTACAAGTCCCAGAAGGTAGCTCGCGCACCTCGCCACGTGTTTTCTCCGCCCGCCAATGGGCGGAAGCGCCGCGTGAGCCTGCTCCCGCCCCCTCGGCGCTCTCGAGCCAATCGGAAGGGGTAGTGTGTGTGTGTGCGAGGGCAAGTGGGGAGGGGGACCCAGCTCAGGACAGGGAGGCCCTGCTCGCAGGTCCCGGGGTCCGGGTGCCGGCCCGAGAGCTTGGTCCGCAGGCAGCGG